TATGTATTCATAGCATTTCATGCATGTATTTCTGGATTTCAAGCATTGAGGCATGTCATTGCCGTTGACGGAACATTTCTTAAGACATCCTATAAGGGTGTTTTACTCATTGCAACGGCTCAAGATGGTGACTTTCACCAATATCCCCTTGCCTGGGCTATTGTGGACTCTGAAAACAACGACTCATACTCTTGGTTTTTTGGCCATTTAAGGAAGTTAATTCCTGATTCTAGAGACTTGGTGTTCATTTCGGACAGACACATTAGCATTCGAAATGGGATAAGAAAGCACTATTCGGCTGCGGATCATGGATTGTGTAGGTATCACATCACTTGTAATTTGAGGAAGCGTTATCCAAAGATGTGCAAAAAGGGGTTGGATACACTTTTTGAGAAACTTGCAAATGCATACACCAAACGGTCATTCAAGAGGTTGTATGGCGACTTGAAAGCAAGGTATCCAGCTGCTGGAAATTACATTGACAATATCCCAAAGAAAAGATGGGCCAGGGCGTATTTTGAAATAAACCGGTACCAAATAATGACGACAAATGGCGCCGAATCAATCAATAGCGTATTGAGGGAGGACAGGGAACTTCCTATTGTTGCACTTTTAAAAGCAGTCCAGAACATGACATCAAGATGGCGTGGAAAAAGGCAACAAGAGTTAAGGTCTCTCGATGCGTCAAATCCCCATGTTACCCCGGCAGTTGAAGCTGAAATGCGCAAGAGATTCAACACTGCCTTGCGCTTGGAATGTCATCAGTTGAATCAATACGAGTTTGAAGTCAAGGGAGTGCACTCTGACCATGTTGTTAACCTTTCAAATAAAACTTGCACCTGCCAAGTGTTTGACAAGGATAAGATACCTTGCGTGCATGCACTCGCTTGTTCAGAACGCACAAGCATAGATTGTTATAGCCTGTGTAGTAAATTATACACAAAGGAATACATGTATATCGCATACGCGGAAACAATCTACCCCGTGCCACATGAAGATGACTGGGATGCCGATGGAATGGAGCTCTTAGAAGTCAAACCCCCTATATTGAACAAGCAAAGAGGAAGGCCAACAACGAAGAGATTTCCATCGGACGGCGAGGCACGAAAAAAATATAAATTGACATGTTCTGGTTGCCAAGGAAAAGGGCATACAGTACGGA